CGGGGTGTTGTATATTTCTCCTCCCAATTCATAAATCAAATGTTATCTTATCAGTCACATGGTCCGAGTTTTTCCCGCTCTTGCAGAGTATAATTTTGGACATGATTTCTATAACAAGAATATGATACATTTGACAAAGAATTGATTGGAAGAAACGTTTCAAGCATGAATTTTCAAACACACACATACTAAACATGAATATGAACCCTTAAGCTATTCAATAGTTATTCAAAATACATACACAATAAATGATTGAGACCTGATAGTCACACATGTGGGTTACATACATAATATGTAGTTATGCATAGAAATGATTAGTTGCTCACAAGTCCTTTTAGTGTAATTTAGGTGCATGGAAAGGCAGTTTCTGTGCCATTCTGTGAATGTATGTGAATGTATGAAGACCAGAGATTAAGAGGTCTGTAAGGAATCTCAGTCTGTTCTTTGTCTCCTAGGTGGGGGAAGTCAATCCAAAGAGCTCGTGATTACTATCACTGGTTTACATGATGGTCATGCTGTGCATTTCTTTGACCATTAATCTTGCTTACTTGCCCCAAAATTGACAATCTCCTTCCTGAGATGTTATGATCAGTGTGTTCTCTGTGTTAATTTTGAAAGCTGTTCTGTGAAAGTTGGTTGGTTAGGCTTGCTTCAGACTGGCTTGTGGCGCCAGGATCTGATTTACGAACATCCTGTGTCTTGGGCCTCTGTGGAATTCGGCTCCTCGTGTTTCAACTACGTTAATGATCAAATCTTAAATTGTCTGATTCGGTCTGCTAACCTACACTTTGTTTTCACATCTCATCTTTGCACAGAGAATATCTTGGTCTGAATGGACCTTTCTGATGCAACTTGCATTCTGTATAAATATGCCTTGAATACGTACTTATTGCTTCATTAACCAAACGTTAGTTGACTTTATTGCTTCATTAACCAAATTTTAGTTCACCGAACATCTGGTGAATTATTATTCATCAGTGAGGTAACTTTTAAAATGTTAAGTTACAATGAAAATGTGTCCACACGTTTTCTCCTTACAATAAATTTTAACAATACAATGTCTTAATTACTTCAATTATAAATTGTTTGTTGAATTAAAAAACTAGTTAATAAACTACATTTTGATAGTTAATCCGCCTCAGGTCTGTTCTAATTTACACAGCTTTTACAGTGGAATGTGAAAAGATGCTGTGCTGGTATTTGATCATTTTTATAATTTAAAGGAAGAAAATATTTATTAAAAAGATAAAAATGGATTCACTCCTAATTTATCATTTAAAAGACAAGTACATTACATTTTGCATATTAGCACAACTATATAGTAATACATTTATTATACCATTACTTGAACGATTTATGTTTTATATTGTAGAATACATATATAATATATTCACTTAATCGGTTATAATAGTGCAGCCACTATATACTATATACAAACTGTATGTAGAAGCTATATAGAAGACAAATGTATCACACAGGTTTCATATTTGTTGTTTTGATTGTTTCAGTACACGTATGGTCAAGTTAGTCATGGAACTATGCAGCAGGTATATTGTCATATTTAAATCTAACCAGTTATTTCAAAATAAATATTTGTGAGCATGGTTTGTTGTTGTTGTTGTTTAACTAAACTGCTCATAAAAGCTAATATTCATATTTACATAATGTAAAAAAGGCCAAGTTTTATTAGTGGTTTATTGTTTTCAGTTGATATTTAAAGGTGACTTGTATGCAGAGTTGCCAGGTTTTCACAAGAAAACCTGCCTAATCGCTACTCAAAACTAGCCCAAAACTAGCCCAATTGCGTTTCGAGGTGGTCCCCAGTTAAAAATCGCATTCCGGGGGGTAAAATACACATTTTTCGTTGGGGTTCCCCTGCTAAAATTCGCATTCCAGGGGATAAATATCATGTTATAGCAGTCGCTTTAACCCGCGGACATGAAAAACAACCCGCGGCAACAGTGTTAAAGTAGCCCAACTCCACGGGAAAACCACGGACTTGGCAACACTGTTTGTATGTTATAGTCTGTTTTCAGGTTCAGGTTCTTTATTGTCATTGTTATAAATAACAATGAAATAACATTCAGAGCATCCTACAATGTAAAAGTGCAATAAGAGTCCAATTTTGTAACAGACAACAGAGACATATTTCCATATGAAAATATATTGCAGATTTTGAGATGTAGTATAAATAAATACTGCAGCAATGCATAGTCCAGATCCAGCTATTGCAGTTGTGTAGAAAAGGAAGTGTAGTGAATATGATGGGCTGGGCTGGGTGTAAATGGGAGGAATGTTTGTTCAGCAGTCTCACTGCACTGGGATAGAGGCTGCGGGCCATTCTGGTGGTTCTGGCTCTAATGGCTCGGTATCGTTTTCCTGAGGGCAGCAGGTGGAACAGGTGATGTGCTGGGTGTGACTTATCTCGCAGGATGTTATGCACTCTCCGCAGACAGCGGGTGGTGTAGACCGTTTGGATCCCCTAGAGGTTGGTCCCGATGATTTTTCCTGCTGTCCTCACCACTGGAGTGCCTGCTGTTCGGCTTTAGTGCAGCTGGAGAACCACACCAAGTGTCCATAGGCCAGCACACTCTCAATAGCACAGTGGTAGAAGTTCACCAGGAGCTGCTTAGGAAGTTTGACTCTTCTCAATTTTCTCAGACAGAAAAGTCGCTGTTGGTGATGAGGCGATGTTAATGCCCCAGGACAGGTCCTCAGACACAGTCAGTCCCAGACACTTAAAGCTAGGAACTCGCTGTACCTCCTTCACTTCCAATGAAAAGTGGAATGTGGTTAGGTTGTCCCTTTTTTTTCTAAAATCTACATTCACTTCCTTGATCTTCTTGGTATTAAGGACTAGGTTGTGCTCCTTACACCATGTTGCCAGATGTTCAACCTCTTTTCTGTATGCAGTCTCATCATTTGAGTTTCGGTGAAAATCATGCTGCAGCAGTTGTATATGGTCCTCTGTGTCATCAGCCATAGATGAATGTAGCGTCTGCGTAGAATCATGCATGATCTTTGGGTTTTATGGCTTAAGAGACCCTTTTAACTTTTGACATTTGCATATAAATTACAGTCCTGGTCACAGACTTTACACTTATATGGGTGCTAAATGGCCAATGGTTCCCCCCCACTATCAAGGAGATGCTAAACGGTTTCACCACTCTCGTCTGACCATTGAATTTCAAACACATTACAAAGAGACGTAAATGACCCCCGGGGCCAGGCACCGATAGGCCTTGGCTGACCAAGCAAACCACACACAAACACACACACACACACACACATAAAGACCTTTACTCTATTTAGACTATAATTAATCAGTTATAATTGTATCTGGTATATGCATGTGTTGTTTGTATGTTTCCCTATTGTATTAGCCTAAGTTACAACTCTTTATTTGTATTAGCTAGACTCTCAATGCTTATATTCAGGTATATGAGTGTATCTCTGCCTTAAGATCTTCTAGATGTTTCGTTCTTGGTATCAGAATGATCAGCTCTTTATTCCTCAAACAATGATCTACACTATGTGATCGTGAGAAACCCTCTTCGTTTGAGACGACACTTTTCCAAGACTCTCAAGACTTTACTCTTGAGTTTAATTTCCGGCAGTTCTCATCTTCAAGTAACTACGAGTCGCGGTGGACTTTTCCTTCTTCAGAAGAACCAGAAGTAAACTTCCAGCTCACTCCTGACGAAATCATCAAAGACCTCCGTGGTCTACCACATCAGAACTCTTGTTCAGCAATCGAAGCCAATGCAAGTAACCGTTTACAACTATTTAAATGCGTGTTTAAGTTTCAGCCCCTTTTAAAGTGATTTTTGATTCTCTGATGATTCTCAAAGGTTGTGTTTAAACTTGATGTGAAATACTGCCATCCTTTTACTTCCCTCTCTCTTTTTCTTACTTTGCTTCATTCTGTATATATGTGTTTTGCTTAGTTAGTTATATGTTAGATATAGTTTCATTTATTAAATCCCTTATATTCACAACTGATTGTCTCTGTTTGCTGCTCACAATTCGAAGTCAATGAATGTTCCAATCCTTGCTACATATGCTAAATTACTGCTAGCACTGCATAAATAAGAAAAGTTATTCTTCCTTGGCCAGGAAAATAATCTTTCTTTGAATTGATAAATGAATATTTTGTCTGCTCGGTGGACGGACAGATCAAGTAATGGTAATATTGATTCTGCTACAGTTAATTCGAAGATCTAATCTAAATATTTATTATTAATCATAACAAGTTATAATTAGTCATAAATATTTCCCTTTTGAGCTGATTTACTACATGAATTTCATCCATTTTATTGTGGATTGACCAGGCATTAGAGAGGAAGATGTAGGAAGAGGGGGCTTGGACGAGTTAGCCTTTAGCCTGGCCCACACACCTGCTCTCTTTCCTCTCTTCTGTCTCCACTCGCAGCGTATCCTCCTCCCTCTCACTTCTGTGAGAGTCCCAGGTGATGATCTGACGAGGTACGGAGGAATAAATGTCTGAACTGGTAGATGGTGTATTCCAGAATTGAGTTCTAAAAGTTTGTCACGGCTGTATTGAAGTCTCTACTCAATAGCTGTGCAAAATAATACACAGTACTACCAATAACGTGCAAAAGCTATGCCAATTGTAGGAGCTCAAAGCCGCTGCAACTGTGCACTCTGAAATCTTGATTCAAAATTAAAAATAAGATTTGTTGTAAGGTTTGTTGTATAACATTATAATTGTATTACTATAATATTGGAAACTCTTAAAGTCTATTGAATGTCACGTTTATAGACTTTGTTTCTATTTTCTGTGTTTCCCTGTTCTCCCGCCTTGTTTTGGTCATTGACCCAGTTTATGTTTCCCCTTGATTACATTAGTCTGTTCACCTGTGTTCAATTAATTATATACATATAGTCATTAGTCCCTCATCTGCGTTTTTATGAAGTCTCCCCGTTCTGTTCCTTCAGTTGCCGGTTATTGTTTATGTATACACTTTGTTGGTTTGCTTGTCTTCCTGGATTTATTTTCTGTTCTTCTGTGGATTATTATTAAAGACTGTGTGTTAGTCAACTCCTGCGTTGTGCGCTTGATCTCCCGCCAGCGAGTGTGACATTGAATTGGTAGATTTTCCAGTGTACTGTATTAGTCAACGTTCTAATCTATTACATTGTTGACTCCTTGTATAAAAAATGAGCATCTGACCTCTGTTTAATTTGTTTGTTTTAGTCTTCCTCTGAATCTAAGATCCAAACTTGTAAGACCACACTGCTCAATAAAGGATAATTTTGATAACAACTCCAGAACAGACGTCACTGTTATAACCAGACAAAGCTGCAAGCTGTTCAGCCCATCCTTACCAAAATAGAAAAGGTTTCTACCTCCCACATTTTTACACGGGTGGATGACATGACATACAATTCAACCTGTCCATGATGTCATATACTAATAAAAATGGGTATTTGTTAAAAAAAAATATATATTTATGTTGTTCCTCTGACAAGATATTATTATAGCAAACCATAGCTTTAGTTGGTGTATAAAGACCTCTACTTCATTTTTTTTAATCTAAACATCAAAATTGTCATATTGTGTGACTGTCCGGGCTAAGTGTGACCTTACTAATATGACAATATATCTCAGAAAAAGTATAAATAATTGATAGATTTACAATTTAAGTAACATAATTAGGCAGTTTTAATAGACACAGAAAGTGTTGATATATGTGCATAATTTTAAAGCAAGTTCTGGCCAAATACGTTTTGTCCGTAAAATGGGCATCATATGGTATGACATTACAATCTGTATTTTGATCGGGCAATAATTTGGACATCATTATGATGTAGAGGTCCACACTCAACCAGGAAGTTGCAGTGTCATCTCTGGAGTGGTTTGGAAGGTCAAGAGGTGAGTTCTTGTTATGAGGCGAACGAGACGTGAGACGTGCGGATCCATCTGCAAAGCTTTATTTCTAAACATGGTCGTAAAACAGGTAAGGTTCTGACAATGGCAAACAGGTATATTGAGGGCAAGACAAAACAGTAATCCACAGACAGGCGTGGGTCAAACGACGGCAAGCATAATCCAGAGGGTGAAGCAAACGGGTAATCCAACAGACAGGCTATATTTCAGGCAAGGTGCAAACATAGTCCAAAACAGCAAGACAGAGGGATAATCCAAGACAGGCTAAAATACAAGGCAGACAGAGAACACACAGAAAGGAGATACACAGGCTAGGATCAAGACACGAATGACTCGGGCAATAAACAGGATAAAACTAGACTTTGACTCAGAAAACTCGGAATGGCTCCATAATGTAGCTATCACTTGGAGAGCAATAAACGCTAAACAATACTCGGCCTTGAATGGGGGTTTGAGACTGATCTTTATAGTGTGTGTAATTGGCTGCAGGTGAAAACGTAATCAGTGAAATGGAACATGGGAAATGTAGTCCGAAGTGACATGTGACAGTCTGTGTAATGTGAGAGTCAATATAATGGGAGGGCGACCTCTGGTGGCAAGCGGACAGAAGGTCACTGACAGGATTTGTGACAGAGCCCCACGCCCAAGGAGCGGCTTCCAGACGCTCCCAACATAGTACAATCCAGGAGGGCGGCGGAGCGGAGGCGGAACAGGGGGAGGGATGGAGGGCCAGGTCCATGTGGAAGTGGAGGGACAGGGGACTGAGGCAGAGCCAGCAGAGAAAGATGCCAAGGCGGAGCAGGGAGCCAAGGTGGAGCAGGAAACCAGAGTGGAGCCAGCAGAGCAGGAAGCCAGGGCGGAGCAGACAGAGCATGAAACCAGAGTGGAGCCAGGGCGGAGCAGGGAGCTAGAGTGGAGCCTGCGGAGCAGGTGGAGCTGAGGACCATCACAGCAGAGCAGACGGGTCCGAAGGTCCCCACGGCGGAGCAGAACACCACCAGAGCAGGACAGAAGACCACCACGGAGGAGCAGAAGACCACCAGGCCGGAACAGACGGAGCAGGAGACCACCACGGAGGAGCAAACGAAGCAGAAGACCACCAGGCCGGAGCAGAAGACCACCACGGAGGACAAGACGGAACAGAAAACCACCACGGCGGAGCAGAAAGAGTAGAAGACCACAAGGCCGGAGCAGACAAGACGGACAACCACAAAAGTGGGACTGAAGATGACCACGACAGACCAGATGGATCAGGGACCCCTGGCAGAGACTGGGACCTAAGGAAAACTGAATTACAAGAGACAGGCAGTGCAATCACGGCATCAAGGATCGAGGCAGGGAACACAAAAAGTTCATCAATAGTTTCCCTGATGACAATTGAATGGGCAGACAGTTCATAAACCGGCTCACAGACTGAGATCTAGTCTGATCTAGTGATCTAGGCAGACAGTTCAAAATCTGGTTCATTGGCTGAAACTGGACATGAAGACAGTTCACAAACAGATTCATGGGTTGATATGGGATAGACTGACAGTTCAAAATTGGGTGTATTAACCTTTTGGGGTCGACTAACGCGGATACGCGTTTTGTGTCATCTTCTCCTGATAACACCGAAAAGAACTTAAATTACACTTTCAGTTTTGATCTTACAGATAAGAGCAATACATCAATCGAATCTGTAAATGGTCTACTTTTATTTTTATACACACATAATAACAACAAAACTTTGTGCATTTATAAAATAAAGAAAACAAACAGGGTGCGCTGTCTGCCGCCTTGGTCTGCGTGATCTTTATTTAGAAACGCGTCATTAAAATGAACTGTAACTCAGCAAATACTCCACAAAGAGACATGAGAGATATATCTATAGAAAGCTTGACATGTCTACTTTTAAACTAAGCAAGTCTTATCGAAAGCAAATATTCTGTGATAAAGTAATCCATATGAAACCAACGCGATGTCCAGTCTTTCACGTCTCCCTTCATTATAACTAATGCGACCACGCCCATGCGCACTATAGATATTATAATCGTCCACGTGAAGCACGTGGCGTGTAAACGCCCACATCACAGCAAACAAAGCAGCAAGACCGCAAGTTTTCTTAATTTTACTGTTCGCGTCGCGCTGAGAGGAATAAGACAGAATTCACCTCAAGAAGCTTTGGATTACCTCAGGAAAAAACAATGCAGCGGCTTGATCCAGCAGTGATCATAAACAGTCGTTCAGTTTTGAGTTAGCTGGAAAATCCTACTGAGTAAGTGCACAGTATAGTAATTGTAATTACTATATTTACAATTAATTGTAAATACGTTACGTCAGTCGTGACTGACGAATTGGGGATCTTGCCCTAGAGCCCAATCACCTTAAGAGTGTTAACTAAACAAGCCAATGACAGTTGGCGTGCGTGTTTCGCCACGCGCACCCCGCCCCGAAGCGCGGGTATAAAAGGAGAGCGCGTGCAAACGCACATCAGCTTTTCGATTCGGAGCCGAGCCTTCTAGTAAGACAAATCTCCGCGAGTGTTCTGAAGAAACAGCTGGCGTTGGTGTGACGGCGTATCAGCGGGGGTTGCCATCCAGGCTGCTGAAACCTCGGCGAGCTGCAGCTGTCATTCTGCGGTCCCGCCGCGACCTCCCCTGGGCGCTTCAGCGCTCTCTCTGAGAGTGTTTTTTCCTTTCTAAAAGAGCAAATTCTAAAAGAGCTCCACGAGCGACGGGCGTCTTTTTAAAGATGGCTTGGCAGAGGTGTCCGCCACTGCTGTTCCATACAGTGGTACATTGGATAACACTGGGAAAGCGTACCCAGTTGGCACACTACGGAAGCCACATCCTGCGCATAGGAGGTATTATGTGGAATTACACACATGGACTGGCCCAGGGCAGTGCTACATATGGAAGTCCCTGCGGTAGATTCAACCTGCTTGGGGTGAGATGACTACGCAGCAGAGATGGCAGCGAACGACTGCCAAGGAAATACACGGGCTTACCATGAGGGGAGCCGTACCGTGGAAGAATACACATGTGGGATCACCCGAAGGGGGAATCACTACACACGGGCACCTAGCCCAGCACAAGGGCTGACCTTGGGCATACACACGAGTGCTGGACCTGGCGTCTGGCGCTCCGCCACGCCTGACCGCCGAGGGTGCGGGAGGAACTCCAACAGGGTTCGCCATGGGGAACTGAACTGAGAAGCAAAAAAGCGCACGTATCCGGTCCGTAGAGGGGAACGGCGCAGCAAGCGTGATCGACACCGTGCGGGTCCGGTGTTACTGCCTACCTGAGGCGAGTACACGAGAGGACACGGGCTCTACACGGAGATTATAGAATCTCGCAAATGTGTTAGGCGTCGCCCAGCCGGCAGCTCTACAGATGTCTGCTATCGAGGTGCCCCGCGCCAATTCCCAAGAAGATGCCACTCCTCTCGTAGAGTGTGCTCTCACTCCGAGGGGGCATGGTAAACGTTGGGCCTGGTATGCTAAGACTATAGCCTCCACTAACCAGTGGGCAAGTCTCTGTTTGGAGACAGCCTTTCCCTTCTGCTGTCCTCCAAAGCAGACAAGGAGCTGGTCTGAGGTCCTGAAGCTCCGCGTACGGTCCACGTAATGTGCAAAGCGCGAACGGGACAGAGCAGAGCGATGGCTGGGTCTGCCTCCTCCCGGGGCAGCGCTTGCAAGTTCACCACCGGTCGTAACCCACCGCCTTTCTTGGGTACGATGAAGTATGGGCTGTAAAACCCTGACCTCATCTCAGCTGGAGGGACTGGCTGTATCGCGTCCTTTGCCAGCAGGACCGCGCTGCACGCAAGACAGGAGCATCCCTGTCCAGCACAGAAGTGAACCGAATGCCCCTGAACTTGGGAGGGCGCCGGTCGAATTGAATCACATAGCCGAGTCTGACGGTTCACATGAGCCAGCGAGACGGCCTGGGGCACGCTA